AATGTCATTGTTCAAATAAAAGAACAATTTACCATTTTTTCTAAATTTCTGTTTTATGCAAACGTGAGTTTTCAATCAAACATAATCTTATATCTTTAGAAATACCAAAGCAAAGTATTGTATGATATATTGATAATAATCTTTAATTTAGATTTGGTTAATCTTATATCTGAAAAACCTAATTTTGGCAAATATAATGCAATCACAATATTTGGAAAACAACAAATAATAATAATAATAATAATAATCAACAACACAACATAGAAACGGAATCATATAGAAGCATAGTTTCTATCCTGATCCAGGGGCATAGCTGCCTTCAAAGGGCAAAAATATGGGGCATGCACTAAAATAAGCATTGGAAGCATTTTCTAAATTTAGCTTTGCAACATCCTAAAGAAAAATTAACCATGATTCCTTAAAATGATAATAGATATCAAACATTGTCCAAATATTGAAACTTAAAAATTTATTGGAATTATAGATACAGCCTTTAACATGAAAGTTTGTTCCAGGAATATACTGTAGACAATGTATTTTGTTTTTTTTTTTAAAATGCTAACCCTACTAAGCTGTTCAAGGAACAGTTTTTGATTTTTCAACATATATTTTTTTTACTAATTTTTTAAGCTGTATTACAATTTTCTGTTTTGACTATTTCCTTTGGTTTAAACATTTTAGTTTAAGTTTTTAGAAGAATATCAACCCTTTGTATCAAGGGTTTTTTTAATCATCTTACTCAAATACCCTTTATAAAATCAGATCATTTAGGTGCTGGAGAATATTGATCATGTCTGAAAGCACAGTAATTTTCTTAAAAAACACTCTACACATTAACAAATACAATATTTTGTCTAATAAAATAACAATTAACAAATTACCAAGTTATATCCAATTAGCTATGCCCCTACTAAATTTTAACAATGCAAACAAATAAGCTGACTTTCACATAGCTAGGAATGCAGATACATACGCTAATAATCAGTTCAACATTTGGTAAAATTACCAAATCCAAAAGCAATAATGACATATTTCAAGAATTCTCTTTATCAAGTCTTGGTGGAATTTTAAATCGATTAGGAATTTTCTAGTTATTCAGAACTGTTTCATGGACAAATTGACACATTATAATGATTCAAATAGACATTTTCATTCTTTGAAGATCTTCCATAGAAATTAAATAAATTTAGACCTGAAATTTCTTGATTTAATGATTTTAAACTTTTCTTTGCATCTTTCTTCAAAATTAAATGACCAAAAAAATCACAAAATATCTATCTGGTATTACCAAATGTCTATAATGAATGATAAGTTGAATCAAATACCTCTTTAACCTTCTAGAAAACATTTTATCAGAATAAAACAAACAAGGCCTAAACAATTAACTAACATAAAGCCTTCAAATACTAAAATATAAAACTGCAAGAATATCACAAAATCTTGTATGGTAATGGGTGAAAAGGGGCACATTTGGGCCAATTTTTGCACAAAATTGCAAGAGAATTTATGGGTAATATATGCCCACTTTTGAAAAAGGGACTGGTTTTCACAAAAAATAATCCCCAAAAAAATCTTAGGATTGTCGGAAACAGAGTTCCATTTCTTAAATAAAATGTTTTTATATCACATGAATATATTTGGGACCCAGGGTGCTGTTTGATTCATTAAACTCGTATCATGATTTTCTCTCTCAAACAGTACACAGTTACTAATATAAAAAGTTCAAAATAAACCTACAAACCATTGTGGGCATGTTAAAAATGATTTTTATTACAAAAATGGTTTAAAAAACAAAAATTGTTCCATAATGCAAAGCACAACATTGTTCAAATACTAACAATACTGTACAAAAATACCAAGTTCTAATATAAACAGGATTTAAAACTGATTTTACAAATATTTATAAATTAATCATCAATTACATTCAACAACAATCCTGAACAAATTGCAAAATTACACAAAAACAAAACATAGCCTAATCATTAATCAACCTAATCATTAATCGTATCTTAATATTTAATAACAGAACACAATTTTTATGATATACTTCGCCTTAGTGTTATTGTGTTCAATAAAACTCAGGAGTAGTATACCATAAAATTGTGTTCCATTATTGAATGTGATTTCAACCCCTTTGTGTTGTGTAAGGATTATTGATGTGATGATGGAGATATATATATCTTAAATACACCATACAAGACTGAATATTAGAAATCATTTCATCAGTAGTGTATTTAGGGAGACCCCTCTCATCAGGCATTACTAGATATACCCCTGCATATCATACAATATCAATAATGAAAAAATATCCTTATGTTCAACTTTCTTCCAGACTAAAACATGTAATATACTCCATTGTGCACAGTCATGTTCAGAGCAAAAAAAATCCCTTTCAAATATTGCAAATTCAATTTTGACAATTTTCAAATGTTTCAAATAGCATTTCTGTAACAAAATGCTGTCTTGACGCAAAACACAACTTGAATGGTTTTAAAATTCACCCAATTAAAATTTGCTTGACGCAACTGGCAAATACTACCTAATCAAAAGCCCTGGTATATCTAATGTCTTTCCATTTCAAGCCACTAATAAGCTCTCTCTAAATCTTGCACTATTATGAAAAACTTTATACAAATATAAGTAACGATATAATACATTCAAATTGCACATGGAATTTCTAAAATCTAGAAAATACTTTTCAGAGTTGTGTTTAACTCTTGGTTTTATTATAAAGGTAAAAAAACAATCAAATACTGTTTTTGTTGTTCAACTCTCATTCACAAATTATAATTTTTTACTGTACAAAAATCATAGTACATTGTCTCTATACAGTTACTAACAAGTCCCATTCTTCGGTAAGGCATAATTTTCCAAAAATATCATGCATGCAAGGCTAGAAATAGAGTGTCAAGTCATTGATTTGACACCCCTCAATCCCTAATTGAACTCTCCAAATAATAATCTGTCTATGTATATAACAATTGTTATGCATTTACAGAAGAGTTCATTTATAAAATTAGGGGATGTTTTATTCCTTCAAATCATTTTAGCCCTAGTCATGGTGTTGCAAGGTCAGGCATTGTTACCATTAATTGCCTGCTCTATGCATCACCCCAATTGGTATAAATATATGGTGTACTACAAATGTTATTTATTACGAAAAAAATCGTAAAAATTGTCAAAATCAGGTAAACTATTGTCATGGATTTTCAACTATTACAGTGTAAATGTCGTGGGTCAAAGTTCAAATGTCATGCTGACAAAACAGTGTTATATAGGTAATGGTCATTTCCTGAGGCAATGCGAAAAAGACTTAATTGCTATCCGAGTAAAGTTGTCGTATTTCGGAACACTATATTGCTCTTGATCTTATTCATTTTCAATATCATATACCAAAATCACTTATTGCGCATTTCAGCAATTGAAAGTTGTATGTGTTCGTAATGGTTGTCAGTGTTTATTAGTCTTTGTTGGTTTATTGCTTAAATCAGCAACAATGTTGTCTTGTCCATGGTTAAAAGTCAGATTCCTCAGTTGCCATCTTGGATTCACAGTCTCACAATACTTCATGTTTATCACAGACAACTCCTCAAGTTCGCAGGTCAGAAAAAACGCGATATCAAACACCTTTACACATAAAAATCTTCCATCCACAGAAACAATTCTTGGTGTTTAAATTCCAACTCCATACCCATTTCTTTCACTTTCCCAGTTTGAAACTCAACTTTGAGAATTTTTTGATTCGGAAAGGACTCTTCTCTCCCAGGCTAAGACTAGGACTTGGACAAGCTTTGGCAGACGTTGCTGGTGTTGAGGTACTGCTGACAGGAGCTGGAAAACTGATTGATCTTTGGAAGGATTCTGGAAAATCAAAATGAAATTCATGAAATAATTGAAGGATTAAACCTCACGGAGAAGAGATATTCAGAATAATTTCAGGAGCCAGAATAATATATTTGATATTACTGAAAAAATTTAAAAAAAATATAACTATGTAAATCCAGGGAAATAACAATTTGGTCCAGTAGGCATGAGTGAGCTAGTAGGCATGAGTGAGCTAGTAGGCATGAGTGAGCTAGTAGCTAGAGCTAATCATTAAAGATTCAATTTATTAGGGAAGTTTATTAAAAAATAATTACCTGCTAAATGAGGAGATGGTGTGAGTCGTTCTGGGCCTGCTGACTGATGTTTTACTATACGTTTTGGTCCCATTCCCTTCTTAGCTAACCCATGGGGTCCTTTCCATTCTATGCTTGTGCTAATCTTGCCTTTTTCCTATAAAAAAAAAAACAACAACTTTGTATTATTTCAAGGATTTTTGAAAATCTGAAATTTTACAGTAAGAATGGTGGTTGTCACAAATGACAACATCACTATATCAAGTGATCTAATACAGTTTGAACTCATATGGAAAGTTCTATATCGATTTCTATTAATTTTTTTCATCAAATGACATGAAACACACCTCAAGACCAGTAGCAACAGCAGCTTCTTTCTCCATCAAAACAAATCTACCATTGGTCTTCCATTCGTTCTGTACATGATAGACATTTTCATCATCCGCCAGAACGCGACTGTCACATCTATCACTGGTACGAGCCTGGCCTGGGGTAGTGTGAGGGTCGTTCACTATCTCAATCTCTTCTACCAATACATAGTCTCGAGGATCTAAAGTGTTCGTCCTGTGAGCTTTCATCACCGCCTGTAACAAGATCAATTCACAATTTCAAAAACTGAGTAGTTTTATGGAGGCAGAATACCCTGGCAATCATCTAGTATGTATATCCTATGCATGGGGAGAAGTGGCCCGAGTTATGACATCGTACGGGAACTTCAAATACTATAGGGAAAACAGAGACATTGACATCTACTAATGATGCATATAGGGGAAGCAGGGGAGAAGTGGGCACCTACCTGAGTTATGATATCCTGTGTGGTACTAGTTACAGAAGCTTTAAATACAATATAGGGGAAACAGGGGAGACATGGACATCTACTAATGATGCATATAGGGGAAGCAGGGGAGAAGTGGGCACCTACCTGAGTTATGATATCCTGTGTGGTACTAGTTACAGAAGCTTTTAATACAATATAGGGGAAACAGGGAAGACATGGACATCTACTAATGATGCATATAGAGGAAGCAGGGGAGAAGTGGACACCTACCTGAGTTATGATATCCTGTGTGGTACTAGTTACAGAAGCTTTAAATACAATATAGGGGAAACAGCGGAGACATGGACATCTACTAATGATGCATATAGGGGAAGCAGGGGAGAAGTGGACACCTACCTGAGTTATGATATCCTGTGTGGTACTAGTTACTGAAGCTTTAAATACAATATAGGGGAAACAGGGGAGACATGGACATCTACTAATGATGCATATAGGGGAAGCAGGGGAGAAGTGGACACCTACCTGAGTTATGATATCCTGTGTGGTACTAGTTACAGAAGCTTTAAATACAATATAGGGGAAACAGGGGAGACATGGACATCTACTAATGATGCATATAGGGGAAGCAGGGGAGAAGTGGGCACCTACCTGAGTTATGATATCCTGTGTGGTACTAGTTACAGAAGCTTTAAATACAATATAGGGGAAACAGGGGAGACATGGACATCTACTAATGATGCATATAGGGGAAGCAGGGGAGAAGTGGGCACCTACCTGAGTTATGATATCCTGTGTGGTACTAGTTACAGGAGCTTTAAATACTGTATATGGCTGGTCAGGAGAAACATTGTAAACACAGAGAACAAACATATGTTCTGTTGAATCCCAATCTGAGGTATCTTCCTCTAGTCTCTGTAATTGGATAAAAGCACATTGGTACTTATGCTTAAAACACCATATTTTAATTCTGTAGCAAAGCACTATGTTTGCCAAGCAAACAAATAAAGAATTTTAACAACACCTACACCTTCACAAAACTAATAAATAACAGCAAGTAAAGAGCAACAAGAGACAACTTTCAAGGATCATTGATGTACACATTATAAACACACAATCTGCATTACTGAACTTCCTTATATCTTACCTTCTGTTCTTTCAACATTGTTGTCATCCAAGCTCTGCTACTTGGGTCCTGAAAGACAATGAAAACCAATCAATCGAAGTTTTACATCCTACTTTTCTGAATCTTTTTAGGTCAATGAAGATGGGCCAGTAGCTGACAGTAACAAATCAACTGATTCTAAACCACTGGTTTCATTTAAAGACAGACAGAAAGTTTTCGATGTGCTTATACGTTTCTGATATGAAAATAAACAAGAGATGGTGTGCACTAAAGGGAAGCAAATCTATAAATAGAAACTTACATCGCCTAATTTTCTGAGTATAAATCGACCAGCTCCCTTCCATTTATTCTGAGCCTGTAAAACCTTTTCCGTCATTTCTAAGATTCTTTGAGAACTGGCTTTTTCTTGATCTTTCTTCTCCCATCCACTCTGTACGTCCTCCACCAATACATAGTTCCCTACTTTCTCTTCTAACCAACCAACTTTAGCCATGGCCTGCAAAACAATTCACAGAGTTAATATATCTTCTGATTATTTTTGAATTAACCAGGCAGCCATTTGTCAAAATTAACTTTTGTCACAAATGTAGTATTTCTCAAAATAATATTTCTACATTCACAACAAATTTTAAGGCAAGATTCTTTGAGAAGCAGGTCTCAACACAAATGATACTTGCTCGAAAAAAAATAAACAAATACTCAAAATATCCTTAAGGACATAAATCTAAGTTAACCAACCTGAGCAATTGCATCATAAGCAGTTGTATCTTGAGTAGTTTTAAGGATAATATATTCATCAGGGGCAGTAACTCCAAACACACTGATAAAAAACATTCTACGTTTTAACTTGGTACCAATAGGACCGACCACCTGGAAAAGAATCAAAATTATTTTGACAAATTGAAACTCAAGAGGAATAGAGATACTGATTAATATTACATCATAACAACTTTAGTTGCCATTTGGTGCCATTAAATTCAAACTCAAAAGTCTCCTACTTACCTCTTTTCCTTCAGCTCTGCCGTATTCTGACAGTTCTTTGACTTTAGCAAACAGAGACATTCGTTTCCCACTGTGGGCAGACTGTGCGAAGTCTACTACATTGGATGGTTCCAGTAGCTCCTCTTCATGTTTAGAGTAAATAAATAACGTAGCTAGTTCTAGATGCTGATTGGACGGACTGCGTAATCTGACGTGACGGTAACCTATAAAACAGATCATGTGATTGGTTAAATTTCAAACTGAATTTGCTTAGTCAAAAGAATCTTTTTCATTGCAAATTTAATTTATGAAGACTAAAGGGAGATAATTTTATCTTCAAAATTTCAAATTACATTGAAATATTTACATCATTAAGTCAAAAACTTATCAAATTCATGCAAATTAATATATATTGTGTGTCTCATTTACATATATATACCAAAAATAGTTTATTCATTGAAGTCAAGTAACAAAATATCAATCTACAATTAATGAGTTGTCTCCCTTTAGTCTTCAGAAATTTAAAAAACCAATTATTTCGACTTACTTCTATTCTTTTAGAACATTGATCTTTTATAAATTAAGAAAGTTTAAGACATCTGGCTAATTTAGACTACTATTGGAATATTCATGTATATCTATTCCAGTATATTTTTGTAGATTTTGTGATGACAATTTTGTGGGTAGATGAAACCCTGTGACAAATGATGAACAAATGCTTATACTGTTACCAACCTGGTCGAAGAGATTTTAATGGAATGATTCTCTGTGATACTAAATGATTAGTATTAGTATCTATAACAACAAATCTTATAAAGGCTAGATCTGGGAATAACACCTGAAATAGACAAAAATAAAAGTTGTATTACTGTGATAGTGATATATTTACAAATCTGTCTTAGTTTTTGTAGCGAATCATTCAATTGATTATTTCAAACTAGATTTTCATGGATCAGAAGGCATTCAATCTAGCTCCTGGATAACTTCCAACAGCAGATTATTACAAGTTCACTTGACTAGGATTCTGAGAATCTTTCTGAATGTGTTTTCAGAATGTAGGCCCTTAGAATGACAAGAACTATTTGGACAAAGTATGAAGAATCCATTTCTTACCTGAAAAGTGAAGATGTCATTCCAAATTGGATTGAGAGCATTTTTAGAGACCAGTTTAGACTTTTGTTTGGCACAATCCACTGGTATACCAATTATTTCTACCTCTATCTGAGTACTAGCTGTATGATTATAACAGACATTTTGACCAGATATTATCTACAAATAGAAACAACAAAATTCTGTATTACCATTCTTAATTATAATTTCAATTTATATTGCATGCAGATTTACAAATTAATTGGACTTAAGTCAGATTGCTAAAATAAAGCCCTTTGAAAACTTCTAAATGAAAAATTCATTACTTTTGTATGATAAGTAGGGAAAAAATTTGCAGTGGGCACTTAAAATGAAACAAACCAAATACCTTGAGAAACTTTTCTGGAAAAATAATGCTAATCATCTGTTAACAAGAGAAATTAATTTTGAGATAATTAAAATACAGTTCTTAAGAAATAAATATTGTGTGTACTTACATGTAGAGTAAGAATTGTAGCATGTAAACCATCAAAGTCTTTATCCCATGGATTAAACCTGTTATACATCATATGACTCTTATCCCACATGACTGATGGTTTTAATACATATCCTGATTTACCATTACCTTCAAACATTGCTGTATTTAACGACATGGCTGTGTCTAAAATAAAGAGATAAACAAAATAAAATAGAGTTTTAGATCGTAATTTCTTGCCATATTTTGTTTTTGAAGACTGTCAACAACATGCAGAGTACATTGAGGGAAATTTGTCTTGATGGTCATCGGTCAGGAGAGCTTTTAAGTTCATAGCCAAACATGGGGCTAATGTATCAAAACCACTGCTGTTCCTTTCTGAGACCTAATTCTTTGAGCTGCGAAACAGAACTATTTATTAAATCTTACCTTCAGTTTGGTAATTCAAGGCCACCATTTGGATACCAAAAGCCCAGAAAATAACAGGATTAAAGTTGGAAGAGTCTATTCTCATACCAGCAGGGTAGGTTCTCATCAGCTGTCTTTCAGTATGAGTTACATTGTTAAGGAGAATAACTATCAATATCAGAAAACATCCCTCAGACTGGTTGAGGTTTTTAATTTTCAATAATTATATGATATTTATCTCTAAATGTACTAGGACAAAAAGTCCCTTGATGAAAAATCTGAACATTTAAAGACTTGAAACGAAAGCTTTATATGAATTTACCTAATTACATATTTTTTCAGAATATTTGTTCAGACCTAGAGGTGTAAAGTTAAGCTTGTAATCAGATATTTTTCAGAAGGATATTTGACAACTCCAAGAGGATTCCTGCGACACAATGACTTGGCTTTATTTTCATTTAAAGATGAAACCAGGAAACATGGCGCCACCCCTTCACATTTCTTTAACTTGGGAACTATTCCAGGCGATGTTGCTTTCATTTCTTCACCTTGAAGAAAATTAAAAAAAAGTGATCATACAAAAAAGGTCAAAACATCCAAATTACCATGTGACATGTTTCAATAGTTGGGCAATTAATATTCATCCTTATGAAAAGTCAGGTGCCATTATGCAATTATAATTCCTTATGTCTATGAAAAAAATTGTAAAAACTTGCTAAATTGCTAGCTGAAATATATTGCATAGTTTTCAAAATGAAATTGTTACCTGCTTGAGCTAGTAATGTTGAGGTACTGGGACTGTTTCCGAGACTAGTAACTAAAATACTCTTTCTTGTGGGTTGTTTCTTCTGTTTTAATGATGTATTTGGACTTAAACTTAAACCTGGAAAAAGATGAATTGTCTTATTCAGAGTAGATTTTCAGCTCTAGATCAAAGTAAGAAATTTAAGCTCCACTATAGCATGCTTACTCTTCCTGAACATTATAGGAATACACTATACATCTGTTAATGTTAACATCCCTTTAACATGTTGAAAATATGAGCGTTATAATCACAATTATACTGTATAGGTAAACCAGCTCACCTCTAAATTTGACAGCTTGGGTGTATATAACAAGATCAGATAACTCTTTCGCTATTTGACTCGTTTTCTTTGGTTTACTCTTGGCAGGAACTTTTAAATCCAGATCATCATCAAAATGCCAGTCGAGTTCTGGGTGACTTTTAGGTCTGTTCTTTTCACTGAAAGACCCTGATTGGTTCCTGAAATAGAGATTTGATCTGAGATGAAATGAAAACATCAAAATTGCAGTCCAAGCAAAACTCACAAAGATTTGAATCAGTAGAAGCCTTAACAAACTTGTCTGCCCCTATTTCCAAGGACATTTGACCCAAGAACGCATCTCCATGATAACCAGCACATGCTTAATCTGTATTAAGAATGGCATTTGAATAGCTCGAGTTTGATTGTCATCTGCTCAGTGCTTCCAAGAGATAGCCAGATGTCAGCTTTCAGCCTGTATCATAAATCTCTTATAGAATCATTTTTGCCTTCATCCAAACACAGATTTAGAGCACCTGATTCTCAAAGATGATATTCCCAGGACTTTTACTAAATTAACTGAGACTAACCTTGGTACAGGCATTTCACCAAATGAATCTGTCCTTGACCTCAGTTGACCTTTATTTTTATCGTCAGTGTCAGGGGTTGGACTGTCTTGACTGTCGACTGATCTCCGTAAGTCTTTGGCTGCTGCTGAAAGAAATTTAAAATAAATTCAACAATAATTCGCTTAGACTATATCAGATACATATAGCATAGTTTGTAGTATTTTGAAGCCCATTCGCATGCCTTGTTTTTATAGAAACAATTGTCAGCTTAAAAATCATAATGCAAATATCAAGAGGTACTTGGACAGTTAATCCCCACATCCAATCTGGTTGGCCTGATAAGGATATTTTTCAGCCACGTAGTGTCCAACCATCATCGAAAACAATGATTGTACTTCAATATATCCAAATACCACTGGTATCATTATGACTTAATATATGCTTAAACAACCATGGCAGTTTTAATCAGAAAAGATAGATCGATATTTATATAAAACTGAAGATTTTATCCTTATTGGAATTAAATGCTGCTTTATCATGTGACAGACCTGAAACGAACTTAAAAAAAATAGAAGATGAAAAGAAATGACCCACCATCAGCAATTTCTTCTTCATCTTCATCCTCATCATCTTCATCATCAAAGTCATTAACAGACGTTGTTTCTGAATAGTTGGTTCCTGTTGAACTTGACGTTTTACTTTGGATCACAGTCTGAAAACAATATACAATATATTATAGTTAGTTGAAGGTAGAAACTCCAATAAGAAGCATAACAACTACATGGCACTGAAAGCCAAAATGAAACAAATTAGATGAATTGTGTACAAACATCTAATTTTACAAGAGAATAGTCTTTAAGATTACTCTATACCAAAAAACTGGTATGTCAGACAGATACTGGGTTCCAAACTGACAATTAGATTGACAATCAGCTGATATTACACTAGATATTACAAGTTGTCATAACTGTCATTCTTGATCTCGTATTGGACCAGAACAAACACCATCGAGAAAATAGGGCACAAATTCTAAATCCATCGTCACAGTGTCAAGTTATGGCAAACTTCATCTTATATCTTGACTGCATCTTTTTGCATCACGGAACGTTGTTAATACAGCAATTTGATTGGCTTATATGCTAGGGAATACAGCCAATCACAGACCTTGACAGAAAGACTTTAAACAAATTGGCTGAAGATGACATGGAGAACTATGATTGACTGTATGCACTAGCGTATAATCCAATCAAATCGTTTCATTTACAAACTTCCAGGATACAAGAATAGAGGCTATAGCAGTCAAGGTATTTGACACAGTTTGTAAGCTTGACATTGGGAAGATGATAGGAATCTAGTCTTCAAGTTATTCATTAGATTTCATTGATCACATTACAAACTCTAATAAGACTTGTATTAGAAATATGATGTTCTGTCTTATCTTCTGAATAATTCTAATTTGTCAGACACATGTTTTAACCTCTCTCTGAAGTTGACCTAAATCTTCTGTTCAAGTTATTTCATTCATTGATTCTATTCTAGTTTGTAATAAGACTGTAGTGAGGAATATGATATTCTGTCTATCTTTCAACAACTATTACTATCTCCTCCACAAACCTTTTTGACCACAGTAGGATTGTCGTTTTCACGTAATTTTTTATTTTTGATTAGTATTTTATATTTGAGTTGGTTCGGTGATGGCAGTTGAGGATCGTCACTGAAATCAGCATCAAATAAATACTTGGTGACTAGTTTCTCACCAAAAACATTCTGTAATAGAAATAAAATACACCAAATTGATGATTGTCAATGGCCAAATATACAATCAAAATTCCTGCTGTTTTGTAGCCATTTTTTTCAAAAGCTTAGGGCAGGGTAAGAAGGGGTGAGCATTGTATTTATAATTATACAGTAAATTTAAAATCAAGTTTTAAAAAGCTGGCAGTGAGCAAAACTGCAGCCATTGGATTATTTGAATTAATCAATTCAAAAATCTGCTAACTATTAACTCTTTGGCACTTTTGAAGCCACATTATAGCTAACTTAAAATCATTTCAAACATAGAAACATGTTACTGATTTACTTTAAAAAATAAATAAAATGACAAATTGTCAGTCAAACTTACAAGAAAAATCTGAGCCATTTTGATTTGTTGTGGTATTGAACAATGATTTTCTATTGATAGAATGACAGGAAATGGGGAAGTTACAAATGCACTTCTATTTATAGCTTCACACACACTCTGGAAAAAAAAGTAAAAAAGATATCAAAGACACAAACATGACAGAAATTCCATGTTAACGCCAGAAATAGTTCAGTGATAGATTAACATTACAGGAAATTCTTAAAATTGTAAATGAAGCTGCTATTCTAAGATAATCTGTATTCTTCATTCACTTGCAATATCAATCTACAACTGTGATTCTAATAGTATGAATATAATCTTCAAACATTCTGCAATAGTCTGAAATTTTCAGAGTGTTTTAAACCGAGATGTGAAATTTTCGTTCGGTAAAGTGAGCTTGAGCTCTTCAGTTGGAAAAGCAAATATATTTAAAGATGTTCATAAGTGCTAGCATTTATACGTGTTTCCGAAACACTTAAATATCTCCATAAGTGTCATTCAGGGTTTCTGTTCTATATCAATAGTCCCTAGTATTCCATCAAAATTAGACTGGATGATTAAGTCACAATGTCTGAATCATTGGGTTTCGATGGATCTTGTGACAGTAGTGATCAAGGTCTTCTGGATTTACAGAAACCATAGACATCAAATGAGAATGCAAGAAACAATGGTACACTTTCAAATATCAAAATGATGTCAATGGAAGCTATAAGTGTTGGTGATACTCATAGAAATCCTAGAGAATGTATATAGTTGGGTTTTGACGACACTCCCCTCAGAATGTAGAATACAGACAATCTGTCTTACCTTCAATGATATTTTAGTAGTTAGTGTATGACCATGATAAATAATAGGAGAACCATCATCACCATCCCAACAATCTAACTCAACACATCGACAACCAGTTTGTAATACCTACAATACACAAATATAGATAATAATATAATACAATGTTTCTACAAATTACATCATTTATCAACCCAACAATCTAACTCAACACATAAACAACCAGTTTGTAATACCTACAATACACAAATATAGATAATAATATAATACAATGTTTCTACAAATTACATCATTTACCATCCCAACAATCTAACTCAACACATCAACAACCAGTTTGTAATACCTACAATTATAATATAACAACAATGTTTCTACAATTTACATAGTCATGGTGCTCCAAAACTGATTTTTATCATACAAAACATTACAACATCTGAAATTATCTACTTTTTAGTTGTTCACTTTTTTCAGTTTTCAAAAATGTTTGCCTTTCTTTCTGTTACCCATTGATATGACATAACCTCTTCAGTTGAAAATGCACGATTTATGGTGTATTGCTATGTAAACAACAGAGCAGTTATAGGCTGATTAGGTTAATAATTTTTGAAAATAGTACAAGTATGTCCATATACTTAAATACCTTCTAGAAGATATTCTTTATAAAAATAAAAGCACCCTACAAATTAGCAATGTAAAATAAAGTAAAGAACATACCTGACTATATAATTCTACGGAGGATTCACCCTTTAATTGATGACCAGTAAGATAAGTATTATGAGAAGCTGCTATGTAATAATGAGACATGGGATGATTCATATCCTGCAAGGAGAAAACATTTTCTTATTAGGTCACATGACACATGTTTCTGATATATAATCCTCATCAGGACAGATAGATTTCAAATGGGTCTTAACTTTCCAAAGTGCTAACATGTGTTTCAGATATATAATCCTCATCACGATATATAGATTTGAAATGGGCTTAGCTCTTCAAACAGCTGACATGTGTTTCAGATATACAATCCTCATCAGGATAGATAGACTTTGAAATGGGATTTTAGAAGTTTGAGCTCATTAAGAAGCTTTACAGGCGAATTCATCCAATCCAGATTAAAGGATAAGTTCTGCTCTCTCATTTAATATTTTATCTTAGGCATTTTAACAAATTTATTGCTATCATAGTTCCTAACATTTTGAAAGTTAAAACCTATATATTAAACCTTCTAACAAGCTATGTAAGTGCACTAATATTAGCATAGTTCCTAAACAAAGTAGGCCTATGTCGTCTGGCAATCGCATAAAAATAAACAGATTTGAAACAAATTCAAGGTTGTTTTTATTTGTAAATTAATTTCTGTATCCAAATATAAAACTCAGCCATTTTGACCATTTTATCAAGAGGAACCAGAAATTCTTAATGAATATTTTATACTGTTATCTTAATTTTTAACAGACTTTTAACATAAAGCTTTCATTGATAGAATTAAATTATAATTGGAGTAAACTATATAGGTCTCCATAGACTACTGTAATGAATACAATAGAACAGAGTTTTTATATCCTACTGATCTTCTTAAAACTGGGCTAAATCAAATTCTAAATTCTACTTTCGAATGTTCACAAAAAGGAAATTTGGGTGAAATTTGTCTAATACCTTGACAAGTATTTAAATTCAGCAATTTGATTTGATTGTAGGCGAAAATAAATTAAACCAATCAAAGCCCTCGCTACAGCAGCCATATTCTTTACCTTCTTTTTGTCAGTCTGATTGGCTGTATTTGCTAGAGTACAATCCAATCAAATGAAATGATTATCAGAGGAACGACTTACCTCATCATGGTGACGAGATTTTTCTGGAATGTGGGCAAAATTAGCTTTATCCATAAGATAGCGTGAGAATCCTTCGAATGATAAACAACACCGATCTCTCAATGTAGAGTCTGGTTCATGACACTGAATTAATTCTATAATTTCATTATCATCCAGTTCCTCTTCTTGATAATCATAAATAAACTCGCGGAATTCTCGCCAACCCATACACCGATTTTGAGACGAGGACGATTCCACACCGGCACAGTTTGACATAATACTCGACACGGCGATAGCGTCACATATTTTATGTCGTTCCACATTTTCAGGTCCTGATAAATCCTGACTACTATTCCTGGTTATAACGTCTGGAAAATAAAGAAAAAATGACTTATCTTAGACGGGGAATTTGTGAGCATTTGTACAAATTTACGAAATAAAATTAGATCTTATTAGTTAAAAATCAAACTTTGAATATAAAATGCAAAAAAATTATCAAAACAACCTTCTTTTTTCCTAGTCAAAGTTTCAAATCTAAACAACATTCTCTCTAGACAATGTGACTAGTCTACAATATGCGATAAGCTATTTCACAACCATACAATTGCTGATTGTTGCTATACTAACTGCATATCAAATCGTTTCTATTTATCCAACTGATAATGCACTTTTCAGGATTTGAAATAAACAGTCTTATCAGTTATAAATCTCATAACATACATGTAGATACGTGTTTATACAGATATACACTTTTATAAAACTCTTCAAGATATAAAAAATCATAGGATAGCTTTTAAATCAAATCTTTATGACACAATGAGACATGTGTCCCTTTTCAAGATTCCTTAATGGCACTTCAATGAGATTTGATAACCTTATCATCAGGGACATATATATTCATCCTCTTATTCCAGAAGAACTCATTCAGTGATGTCAGTTTCACAAATACTGTTTAATAGTTATATCAATCAAATTTTACGTGGGTAAGAATTAGATCCAATACACAAAAGAGACATAATCTTTTCTAATATTCAGAAAAACGGAAAATTTGTGCTTGAATAGTGCAAATAAAAGTTATATTGAATCAAACATTTTCTCTGGCATAAGAAGTGTAGTACCGTACGTGTAGGCTATGATCTAGATTCTGTTAACACTTCCTGATTTTCAGGCAACAATTTTTGTTGCAAAACGCCGGGGGCTTTACGAGAGAATTCTGTAGGCAACTAACACAAGATCATTTGTAATCTTAATGACTTCCCTGTTGGTCATAAAGTTTTATGGTTTCAAGCGATAATAAACCCCTGAACTTAAAAATAGAGTGCCAACAATTTCATTATAATTTTAAAGAAAGCTGTAAAATTTTCGAGTACTAAAGACAAGGAAATGTTTTGGAGTCATGGTGATAAAGGCTTTGAATAACACATGAGAATTCAATTCATTGATTGGCTGATAACTAATTTGGGGTTATTATAGACATGTAGAAAGGAGGATCTGTAAATAAGTTTATAAAGAGAAAAAATTCAAAAAAATGCTAGAGAAAATATTATGCTACTTTTTTTACAGTAATAAGGAGCATTCCATTTATATCAAGTAGGCCCCATGCTGAATCATTTACGACAATCTTGTCTGTAAGATCGCGATGACTTACGAGATATTTTAACACTGAGAGACGATCATAAATAACATGTTTTAAGAACACTTAATAACTGACACTTTCAATAAAACACAGAATAAAATAGAATATTGTATGATAGCTTTTAATTGCACTTGTCTAATATCTCTCTTTCTTCCATGATTTTTTTCAAGAGAATTCTGATTAATTATGCTATATGTCAGTCTGTATAAGCTCTCAAAGACCTACTTTTGATCATCAAAAATTTTCAGGTTCTGAATTAATATATCTAAATCTATATATTTAAAATGTAAAATTTCAGGCCTAAATTAATCAGATAAATTGATCATGTGAGCTTTTCTAACTAATGTTATAATGTTTATTTTGTTCAATTGATAGCACATCTACTCATTGACAATATAGAAAAAAATAAAATCAGATTAGATTTATATTTGTGCCATTTTAACGTGAGTTTTAATCAAATGGTCTGTGATCAATAACCCATCAAACAATCTACAAAATTAAAAAATTAAAGGCATACTTACTCATATCTTTGTTTTTAGGAATGTATTCTGGTAATTTCGTGTTGAGATTATCACCGAGTGAAGTTTTAGCCACAGCAAATTGTTCAAATAAATCCTTTAAATCCTTACGACACCTTAATCCAAAAGATTTAAACAAATCCACAAAATCCAGGAATGATAAATGCGTAGAGTTTGTTATTGATGTTGATTTGTCTCCAGACCGGCAACCTAATGACATGCGCCGTTTACGTGAGCGATAACGATTGGTGAAGCTAAAGGTCATACTGCGAGGTCGGAAGCCAGGCTGAGGACTGCCTTTAGGGATTTGATTAATTTGTGAATCACTGTTACAATTTTTTTGCATCTCTGTTTTAACTTTCCGTAATGGACTCGGTGTTCGTCTGATTCTCGCTGATGTTGGTTTTACTGGATCTGTTGCTACAGGAGACTCGGAATTCACCATTTTATTGCCCTGCTCCTAAAATGAGAAAAAGGCAAAAAAATATAGTTCTGGGTTGAAGCATGCTATATGTTTAGTTCTTCTTTTTTTTACTGGAACCAAAGCAGAGTGTAAATAGAAGATATGTATAGGACATATACAGACACAAAACCTCTTTTCTACTTCAAAATCATGTGTCTCCTTTTTAATTTTCAAGTTTGTTTTCAATCTCAGAGAGTCCACATAGTTAATAATATTTTTGTGGTTATTTGTACCACCCATGTATAATGTCTTAAACTAATATTAAATTCACCACTTACTCCATCTTTCAAATTGTCTCATGTTCTTTCAATTTCAGAGAGTCCACATAGTTAATAATATTATCGTCATAATTTCTACATCCCTTGTACGGTCAAAGACTTGTATAGAATCCACTACTAACTCTACTAACTCTATAAAGACTATCAGTATCTCTTCTTTCATTGTAAAAAGTATTAACATCAATTCTTAATCCAGAGTAATCACATGTATACATTATGTTTGGCTGTCAACTGATATTCCACTAATTGACTTGAAAGCATGGGACTAATTAGTTTCCTAACGAAGGAAGTCAGGTGACAGCAGGTAATGGACTGAGCTGTCCTTCATGGTGTCAAGGTTCCTGCAGCCTGGCCTAGAAATACAGTGGTGTTTCTGTTAGTTAAGAGGCTAAGGAGGGGTCACAGACTTGTCAGGGGGAGGGGGGTCCTTCTCTATGTGCAATGATAAGAAATCTGAAAATGGGAGAAGGAGGCAAAAGGTCATCTGGGCCAGCTCAGTTCAGTCCTTGTAGCCTCACTACAGTTGAAATAGAAGAGGCATAGCAGTTTCCTTATGTATTAGGCGGTCTGGGTAGATAGCTGACATCAGAATTGGTCCTACATTCAGGAGGATTGAACCCATGTCACTTTATCACCTTGCAGTCAACAGTCAAACTCTCAGATATTCCTTTACCACTACCTTCAGGTAGATTTGAACTCACAGCATCTATCAGGAGCAGGTTTTTTCCTAACCCCTATTGAGAGTTTCCAGCTTCTGTTGTTACACATGATTTCATGATAATATCACATAATATTAATGTCAAGCACTAAATTTCATAGCTAGGTGCTCATGATAGTGATGGTTGTCTTCTGCCATGCAGTATTGAAAGAGTTAACAACTGAATCCAAACAACAGTACCTAGGTCATTTAATCCTAAAATATCCACTGGCGTAATATTTGGCCCAGTAACCTATACAAATATCTTGAGCCCACTGTTTTCTAATACAGTGTTGCCAGAAGCACAAAAATTTCGAAATGAACTACAGCTACCGGCAACATCTTACCCTAATGATCTCATTCAGGCAACAGACAACAATAACTTCCTCTTATCGTTCGAAGCAGACGTCATTATTCACTAAAGTATTTATAATATAGAACAGTAATGGCTACCATTGTTGATAATCAATTTTATATTATATCATGAAAGTACATTCAAATGATGTTTTGTTGGAGAGCTAATGTCCAGGTCAGAAAAACCATAACAATTTATTATAATATCCTTTTAACTGCAGGCTTTTCAATTTAACTTGTATTAGTTTGCATTATCACACATAAATAATGTTGTTTATCATGTTTGTCACTGTTAAAACCTCCTTTGTAGCATCAAAATTTTCAGCTGAAAAGCTTCAAGTCATATTTAAACATCTAAAAATCATATTGGATTAAACAACGCCTAGGTATTTTGATAAATAAAAGGACAACAGTTGATCATTTCAAACCAATTTCAGATTCAATGCCCTTATTCGGAAAACTGTAATATTGTAAGTTTATCATAATCAACATTTATACTAGCTAATCTGAACTTTTAAACAAAAAACTAAATCATGTCTTTAAACCACAAATGACCTTCTTTCCCGACAAAATGACCATACTTCCAGACAAATGATCTTCTTTCCCAACAAAGGACCATACTTCCAGACAAATGATCTTCTTTCACGACAAATGACCTTTCTTTCCCAGACAAATGACCACACTTCCAGACAAATGATCTTCTTTCCCAACAAATGACCATACTTCCAGACAAATGATCTTCTTTCCCAACAAATGACCATACTTCCAGACAAATGATCTTCTTTCCCAGACAAATGACCATACTTCCAGACAAATGACCTTCTTTCCCAACAAATGACCATACTTCCAGACAAATGATCTTCTTTCCCGACAAATGACCATACTTCCAGACAAATGATCTTTGACCAATGTGCTTTATATTAGTAGTAATCAACTTAAATCTGTACTTTTAAATTAACAACTGATTCAGCACCTAGTCTCCACCAAATACTTTTTAAAAGTGATCACATGACCTTGTTTTCAATAAATATTTTAACAAATGTGCTCAATGTTATTAAAAATCAAACTTAATCCATCTTAAATGGGAACTTAGGACAATCTGAAAACAAAATGTCATCCAATTGACCTTGTTTCCAATAAATATTTTGAAAGATGTGCTCACATGACCTTGTTTTAAATAAATGGAATAATATTCACACTAATGTTAAAAAAAAGTATGTTTGGAGAAAATTTGCTTAAAGTTAGTAATAATCAAACATAATCCATCTTAAATGCGAACAATCTGAAAACAAAATGTCATTGATACCACAAATGACCTTGTTTCCAATAAATATTCAGAACTGTAATTGTTAGCTAAATGGTTGTTTTTCAGTTTTAAATGCCAGAAAGCAATTACAGCAAGGACATTGAAATGTATGGTGATTATTATTGGTTTAACTCTAGATTAAATTAATCCAATGGGAAATACATTAAATTGAATGAATATATATCTATTACCATTAGACTACTGAGTCATTATTTTAACATAATCATTGTTAGAGAGACAAATTTAGGGCGTTTTTTGTTGAAAGGACACCAGAATTCAGAATGTGTGAGACAGAATTTCGAAATTTTAGTTCTGATTTAATTATTTGACTTTTCATTATTTTGAATTAATCATTGAATAGAGAAATAAATTTAGGGTATATTTTGTTCCAAGGACACGAGCATTCAGAATGCCGAACAGACAGAGTTCTCAGTCTCAAAAAACAATTGTTGAGTGTCAAGAAATTTCTGTTTTGATATTCCTATTGGACCAATAATTGTCATTTTCATGAGGTAATTGGCAAGTGGAGAACATTTTGGGCCTATTTTGTAAACAGAAAAGACACTGCTAGCATTTGTAAGGTTGATTCAAGTGAAAGATTTTAGATCCTTGAAATTATGAGCCTTACCCTTCTCGACCTATCACAATCCACATATCAATTGGAAGAATCCCCAAAATCTAATATTTCATTCTATTCTTAGAAATAATTTGAATTGTCCATGGATTTAAATAAATATCTTAGCTTCACTACAGCATACCACTTAATCATCTAAGCTTATTCAACATTTAATAACAACTATCAAAAAAATCATTTTATTCTTCAAATATCACCAAAAATAGCACACCTGTCCACCTTATACTTTCTTTTACATTTTTAAAACTGAACCATGTTACAAAATAATTAAAACACCTGCCAATCATCTCACACAAGAAGACAAATATAGCTTTTGTTTCAATCAATGAATTATTCTGTAGAACATGAGAAATTCTAAAAAGATTCTATCAATGTCATCCTACAGTATTGAAGACCACGAATAATCTAATGAGAGTGACAATTATTTGAAGAAATAATATTTATTTCATTTTTTATCTACAAACTACTTCAGGAAGGTAATTATACACTAGTAGTACTGTTGATTGGTTTTTATTTGCCAGCCATGTCTGACTGTAGTAAAACAATGCTGAGATACCATTTCAATAATTTATATTTCATCTACAAACCAAACCAGGAAGTAATATGTAAAACCATGACGACCACTGAAAACCATGATAACCGCTGAAAACCATGACGACCGCCGAAAACCATGGCACCCTATTACAGATCCCTTTCAATGTTTCCTGTTCATGCCATGAAGTTTTGGTTTGCAAATTTTGTCGCACTAGAGTTTTGTCATGAATTTCGCAGGCACATGAGGACAAAAAAATCTCCAGTAGGTCGTTTTCAACTGTGTCAATAATCATGTACAGATCATGCAATTGAAAGGAAAATGAATCTGATTGGATGACACTCTGTCTTGCAGACGAAAAACACATTGGCCACAAATATCAAACTAGTTATAAGATGTGTTAATCTTGTCGTGGAAGTGTAGGTATTATATGATATCAATGATATTTTTACTCAAGATTCAAGTCACTGACCAAACAAATAAAATGAATGGAGCTTTATGTCCTCAAATCAGCGACCAAGACAGTTCATATGTCCGCACCTTAAAAGATTCATTTCCAAAATCTAATTTCATTAGCCGAAACTACCAGAAAATAAGAAAGTAATATTGACTATTAATATCTACTAATCAAGTGAATCATAATCTATGGCTAGACTAATAAATCTCACCACCATATATTATAACTCTCTTAATATCTGATCAACCTCCAAACCTTGATTTCCTCTTGACTGAAATAATCACAGTCATAATATCATTCAGTTTAATATGATATAATTTGGATTTCTATATTCATACAAATGCAATTTCACATTTCACCAAATTGTTTTCACAGATCTCAGTCTGTTGGAAGCCAGCAACGCCACCTGCCAACAATAGCAAAGAAATTGAAAATCTTCCAACTTCTTTAAAAATTAAAATCTACAATAATATTCGATTATCAAAATCTTGGGAGACAAACACCTGATCTGCACCTTGATGGATATTGGATCAATGATTATGGTCAGCACCATGAGAGAAATTCTGATGCTACAGAAAAGTATTAATCCTATATTGCTGCTATTATTTCAAGATCAACCTGGTTTTCCATTAGCTCACATGGTCTAGAACAGTAGGACGTAAAACTCCATTCATTTCATCTTTTAACTATTTCAAGAGATATAAAAACAGGTCACAGTACAATTTTCTAGAATGAAGGAGATCCAGACACAAGAAACGAAATATACTGAAATTGAGCTCCATCAGCTGATGAAAGAGAACTATATTCTTATAAGAATACAAGCAACATCTTGTGTCGAATCAAGAAGATAATATTTCAGACTATGCTGACTGTTTAAAACATCTGATGGTGCTTCTTGTTTGAGGAGTCCACTACTATACTATTATGGCTTCCGATTTTGCCATGCTTTGGATGAGATATCAAGTTACTGGAATGGTTTTGCTTGTATGGATTTTTGTTTCCAAAAATAAAATGAAAATCAGGTTTCTGTGAATAATTGAGAATCAAATGAGAAGTCATTGAGAATGAAGGAAGTTGACAGAATAGAGATCTCTCAATAGAGTCTTACTGACACAATTCATTCATTTTCCTCATATCACTTTCAATTCTTAAACAAAAGAAGACATTAAGTCAATAATCAATTCAAATATGTCAGATTTGAACCCGTCAGCGCTATTGTAACAACTTCATCTACAGATCATTGGCTTCTATTCGAAAATGAGAAAAAAATAGGTAAGGAAGCCAGTAAGATGACTATAAATCAAGCAACACGACAGATTCAGTGGGTTTGCAGGATCCTGAAAGTTCCAATCATAGTTCCTGAATGATGAAATCCTTCATTTTCCATCTTTATAACATAAATCAAACACAGTGACCTTTTAGACATGGCAGACTGAAATCATTGTCCACACACGTGTCATGACTTATATCTAGTACAGAAATTAGAATGAGGCGTTCTACTTTACCGCTCCAGTTAGGGCTAATGAAGAATGACATCCAGGACAAAAGTTCAAGCAAATGGGCATATAGGTCACATATTTCTAGGATTCCAGAGCAAAACACCTCGCACATGAGAACATGAGAACATGGCCCCAGGGTTTTACATGTCACTTTTTTGCTCCACTTTTGACATTTTGTACAATGAACTTACAGATCATGTAGTCGCCGTGCTGTGTAAAATGAGATCCTGTAGTGTCATGTGGTTTTATGAAGACAGGAAATGCCATGCAGGGTGAAATGAGGGAAATTTTGCCAAGACAGCGGCATTAGCCTGGTCTTTTTCGATTTCCAACTGTCAATGTATCTTTAACGTGCACAGTCTGTAACACACGGGCCTCGGTTTATTGTCAGTCACTCTTACCTGGATCACTAAGAGGGGTAAACTACGTTGAAAGATACAAAGGTATTATCTTGACTTATGCCAAATTGAACCCTGGACCTTTAGGTTAGTGAGCAAGCATCTAACTCACTGTGCCACCGCGGCTCGTTACTGACCAATGGAACAGAAGTTCAAGTACTTGACTTTAAAGTACCGGATAATGTACGAGGGTGGGCTGAGAAGTTCATTGGCTGACTTGGTAGGAGTTATGTCACAGTAATGAAACTTGATCTTCATTAAATTCAACATTTCCTGATACTTTAAGTTGTATTTTTACTCCTTTCAAACTTATAGATAATCAATGAAAACTGTCCAACATAACAATAAAATAAACCTCAGAATTGCTTATTTTTTTTAGCTCTTCATGACAAAACAGTAAACAAAGAGATTGGAAACTCCTTTTTTTCAAATTAACCATTAAGATTGAAATTATCGTAGAAAATCTCCACTGTGTGTAAGCACTCATAAACTACTTCAAAATTGATTAAATAGCCTCCAAACATAGTGCTTTAAAAAATGAAGTTTCTGTCATTGGTAGGCTAAGCAGGCAATATCAAGTAGTGCACAGTTAGGGAGAGAGTGTTTTTTATCACATATAGTTTAGTTCACTCCTCCCCATGCCATAGCTAAATGTCTTATCAAAAGAAGTTGATGTTATTTCTAATGTTTTTAGTTCCAGTATTGTCCTGTGTAAGGATCTCAAACCTGATGCTGCCTTGCTCTATATTCACATAAAAATTGACCTACCATATCCCTTCAAAATATGAAAATTCCTTTTTAAAATACTACTTAACCGAATTTGATGATTTCATGAATGTAATTTTCAATTTGCTATGATGATGATTACGATAAGAGAACTTTTCTGATAAATTTTACTATGTGAAGAAGAGATAAAAAGTCTATCTTGAAAACTGAAAAGTACTGGTTCTGCATCATCATTGATAAAATCAGGCCTTACCTTCGTGGAGAAGTTGTAACTCATTTTCTTCTTAAATAACGTTGAACCAACAACGAAACTAGGAGTGCGTCTAAATGAGGAGGGGGGATCTGGGTTGGTTGTTTGATTTTGTGGACCACTTGGCCATGATCTTCCACCAAATACCTGAAAATATAGAAAATATAGAAAATATAGAAAATATAGAAAATGTGCCAATTAAGATATTTGAACCTTTATAAATGTACAAAAATACATGGTGTTGATTTCAGTCTGAGTTGGGCACTGTTAATATAGATAATTAACAATCAAAACAATTTTAATCTTTAACTGACATTTAGAAGTAGACGTAATATTAGAAAATAAAACACTATTATAAATATAGGCCTACTACTCCCTTTCAATTTACATACAGGAATCTTTATCAAGAGATATTGAAAGTATTGAGTTCGATGTAGTGTAGGGTGCTGGATTATTATAACAGTAGAGAATAGGAGAAGCAAATCATGCCCAGAGTCATTGCGTCTTCCATTCTCTGTTGTATTGGTAATCCACCATTGTACACTGCGCCAGACACCATATATATAGCACAGTTGTTTAGAGTATTGGTTCTTTACATGATGTCATATCCTTGGTTACGTCGAGCGAATGGCAACTGTGGGTTCCCACCTCAATTAGCATCTGACAGTCCAATGACCTTAAATAAATCATCTTCCCTCATAATTCCAGTCGACTGAGCCAAAATGGATACCGATATTCCAGGGAAGATCAATGCCAAGAGATTTAGCCAAGAACAAGCTGGTAGAAAGGATCCTTAACTCTGAACCAAAGTTGTTATTTTTGTAAACTATAGTTGTTTCTTTCTTTCTATCTTGTCTATTCACAGTGTTGACCTAGGATATCAAAATATGTCGATTCCAGGAGCCAAAATTCTACCAAATGTTTTATTTTTGTCTTTCATTCATATCATCGATTTTTAGTCTAGCTTTACTATCTCACCAGATTGATGTATTTCTTAAAATCTGGATTTGATCTTAGCTAAATTTAGGCAAAACAATTTAAGTGTTGAATAACACTTATTAAGTCACACTGTTGATTTAAGTGCAACATTAAAATCTTGAGAGGAAAACATTCTAGACAATTTCAGACTATTTAAAGGAAACAAAGAACATAATTCACACTAAGATTTTAGGATTGATGTTTTATGATTTCAGTAAGGCTGTTGACCTGATTGCACATGAGAATCTAAAGTGCAACTCATTCTTAATAAAAATTGAATGAATAACAAACTATTAAAGACAGCTTAAATAGAAAACACAGAATAGAATTCACACCAAGATTTTAGGATTATGTTCAATGATTTAAAAAAGGCTGTTGACCTTATTGTATTTTAATGTTCATGAGAAGCTTTAAGAGGAAACCATTCTTATTCAGAACTTAGTAAGAAAACATAAATTTGACGCCACACAAGGATATCAGGTTTCAGCCAACAAGACCACGATCTAATTATGCTATAAAAGCTAACAATTGTTTTGTCCATATCAAATTGTTGATGTCCCTGATAATCCTAAAACCATGAAAACCACATTCATGATGTTAACCCATTTAACATACTATTTGATTTTAATTCAAGGACAAACATGTTATTACAATATTAAAACTTATTGATACCAGTCCATTCATAATTTCAATAAATTTATACTTTCTCTGTTTCAAAAATCATTTAGAAATAAATAAACCAAGTACTAACTATCTCAACAGCATAACGAAACCCAAAATCCAAATCATTTTGATAAAATATTGGTAGCAGCTAATGAACTTTTCGCCTAACATATCCATGGAAAATAATCTTTTAAATTTCTAGGGGTTATGACAGTCTATTTCATCTTTCCTCTCCCATTTTTGAAGTCTTAAGAGGCATATAACAGCATTCGGCCGTCACATCTTAAGTAATTAATAGACACTATGTGTAAAATATTCAAACCATTCATAAGATACATATCATTGGATATTGTTCTATTAATTACTGATATAGATTCAATATATATGATAAATAAATCACACTGAGTCGAACTGAGAAACATGTTTAAGAGAGAATTCCACCATCAATCAATAAATAAAACAAATTTCTGAAAAAAAATCTCCCCCCCCCCCCCCTTTCAGAGAGATCTAGAATCTTATCCTGTAAGATATCCTTTATGAATCAAACTGGTTTTATTTTTAAAAAATAACCCTCCCCCCTCTCTCATCACAGCTCCACATAGTGCTGAGAAAACTCACTCAATCAATATAAATTGTCCCTTTCTTGTAAAATGAATAAAAAAAACCTTCTCTCCCACCCCTATCAACAGCTCCAAGTTACTGCATCAAAAACCTTGTTTAAAGAGAATTCTGACTGCCCGGTAGCCTTTCCCCTATCCATCTGGCATGAATAACATAGGGTTTATAAAAAAAATGGAGTGAGAAACCTTATTTAAAGAGAACTGTAGAATCAATATAAACTGAAGTGAAGTATAATGAATGAAGATATAAAGTATCTGATATTGAGATTGATTTTTACAGCCAATCTGTCATAAACCATCTTAAAATAACCCCTTCAATTCTAATCATCTCATATAGCCTAGCTTAACCATATAATTATATACTAAAAATTATTTATTTGATCATCAAGTCAGGTCAAGCCTAACATTTTATCTATCTAAAGCATTAAGCTTTTTAGTCTAAGTCTGAAGATTTTATTGAATTTTAGCTCAAACTTAAAGTATTAGAGGAATAATTAAGCAGGGCAGTTCATGCTAACCTTTCACGAACACTCATTACCACCTGTGATTGGTTTAAGGGCATGCTAACCTTTCAGGGACAGATGTAACTGACCCACCATCAGCAAATTGGTTTGTCATTATTGTGATAGGTCTCGCAAGGTAGTGTACATGCTAAATTTCAGAAACATGCAAGCCATCAGCGGATGGGTTTGTCGAGGTTTTGCAAGGCAAGGCATGCTAAGCTTTCATGAAAACATATGAGCATCTGCAAAAGGGTCCTGTGAAAGCTAATTCTGCAATTCCTGTGGGTCACAGTGTTTTTCTTAACCTTTGAATTGCTGAAGTGCAACTAGATCAACATTGAATTAAATACTTTTTATTAATTTCAACTATCGATAAAAGATGAAAAATATTGACGGAAACCTTTTTATTCCTTGGGCTTGGAAAATGAAAGAACAAATACTGTAGGAACATGATAACCGTGTTATTTGTCTTGATAAACAGGCACCATGTGGTGTATTCCAAACATTACCATACTTAACAGTTTTTGGAAGTAAACAACTCAGAATTTTAATTTAAAATCTGTCTCAAGACTGTGGAGGTCTGACATTATCATTTCAAATTACTAGCTCATTATTCTAAAAACATTTCAACACATGACAACCCAAATTTTGTTGAAGTTTGATGTAGTTCTTTGGAAGGTGAAGATATGCCAGGTTCACTCAATGGCTATCACTCAGACACACTGTATAGAATCAAAACAATAACTAAACAAAAGAAATGGAATGTTTACTGCAAATAAAATAGTTTTTTTTTCTCTACTTCAAATTAGGGTAATCAAACAGGCAATGCTTTTCAATGTGCTATAAGGAGAGATTAGCATAGAAAGCTACAAAAGTTGACTGTCCTGTACAGCATTGTGCCTTGATTTACTATCTTATCAAACAATTTAATCACTCTTTCCCTGCCAGTCTTTACAACCTTGCTCCATGACGAAAAAGATCGCCAGATCTGCAGGTCAGAGCCTTAAACCTTATTCACTAACCTATGTCAACCCTAAACACTTCAGAAAAAGATGAAATGACGCCTTGATCAAGATCAAGATATCATATTGATACTAATTCCAATTGAATTTTAAATTTGATTTTCCAGCCTTATATGATAGACAATAAGTTCAATCTGATTCTAATAGGATTAAGGGTCTAGCCACTCATAGAGAATACTATCCCTGAGGTAAGCTTGTTTAGATTTCATTAGATTCCTAAGACGTCTATGGCGTCCAATTAACAAGACTTTCATAGACCTGCTAGCTCTGAAAATGTTCACTTCTCTCAATGGTGTTTCAATTTACAAATTTTGCTGACAGTTATTTTGGTGATAAGATGAGGGGCATACTGAGAGCTCTTACCACCAGATGCCCTGAGTCTCTGATTGGTCATTGAGAATTGTAGGGGCCAAATATACACATAGAACTCTTGAATTCTCCTTTTATCTCACACCTTCCTGCACCTGATTGGGAAATCTCAATTAAACCCTTGACCTACTGGTTAGCTTCTGAAGGTAGCCAAACTAACAGGTCAGGCAACCCAAAGATGAAAACTGAAAAAGTGCAGTTTCTCATTACTTACGAGCATTAACAGAAAAAAATCTTATCTAATGAAAAATTGATTCCATCAACCTACAGGGCAAAAATATCTTCTATCTTTTACGTGAACAATTTAATCAATCCATTTTATTTCATTTCTTTTGATAAGATAGATGGATATAGAAGACATTGTTCTTGTTTTTTTTAACAATTTGTTATAAATCAAAGAGCCCAATGTGTTTTCTTTCTACCAGGAGTAAAGCAAGAATAATATTGACAATAATTCTGAATAATATATAGATAATGAACAGTGTTTCACGTACTTAAGATAAAGATTGTCAAATTACAGGAATCTGAAATTTTCAAGAAAATATTGATACAAAATTCTGACCATTTCAAGACATCATCCAAATCTGGGTTATAATCCTGAGGATGGTCATTAGATATTGCTTTATATTTTACATTATTAAAACACCAGACATGAATTAACTGAGCTATATTCCAGATGGTGGTCCACTGTTTATAGAAACACCAGACGTCGTCTAACTGAGCTATATTCCAGATGGTGGTCCACTGTTTATAGAAACACCAGACGTCGTCTAACTGAGCTATATTCCAGATGGTGGTCCACTGTTTATAGAAACACCAGACATGAACTAACTGAGCTATATTCCAGATGGTGGTCCACTGTTTATAGAAACACCAGACATGAACTAACTGAGCTATATTCCAGATGGTGGTCCACTGTTTATAGAAACACCAGACATCGTCTAACTGAGCTATATTCCAGATGGTGGTCCACTGTTTATAGAAACACCAGA